TTATATTTTTATATGAGCAATAATATTTTTTATTTTTCTGTTGTAAATATATATTTTAGGTATAGTAGTTATAGCGACAAATAATTACATTGGGATGGTAAATTGCTTATTTTTCATAAATTGTTACACTTATTCCTTATGTTATATAGATTATTTACAAATACCCTATTGGCACAGTTTAATTTAAAAGGTTCTGGTAGAAAAATTGGTTTATTATCAACGAAGCTATATGATGTATTAGAAGGTAATAAAAAATAGTTCTAATATAATAAATTTTATCATTTAGTATTTGATTAAAAATGTATGTTAAGTTAAAATTATTTTTAAGATTTTTGATAGTCAAATTTTTTTTTTTTTTTTCCAGTTTTTTACCTCCCCAAAGCCTAAGGGGGTCACTACAGTCGAAGAGGCTACTAATTTTTTTTATTTTTTTTATTTTTATTGTAAATCGTGGTACAACCCTCTCTCAACTCTTTAACTCCGAAACACGAACCTTGACAAGCAAGGCCGCTGCACGGAGAAATTAAGTTGAGCGCGGTACTTACAGAGATGCGGTGGGAGTCGAATTTCGAACCTCTTGCATACAAAGCATACAAAGCGAGCGCTCTTACCACTACACCACTGCCGCATAAATTATGTGGCAAGTTTACTTTTTATTATTTGGCAAGTTTTTGTAAATTTTAATTTATTTTTAGAAGTTGTAACAAAAAGGTTTAGAAAAGTTTCAAATTCTGATATAAGACAGCAAATCGGAAGATATTGTAAAAATGCTCCATCGCTTAAAAATAGAAACTAAAATTAATTTTTTATTGTATAAATTATATTGCTTTATAAAAAGATACTTTATTAAAATCTATCTAATTGTATTATATGTACCTTTTAACTTTTTTTTTTTTTATTTTTATTAATTAGTTTATTTTTTTTTTAATTTAGTTTTCCTCTATATTTATGTTTCTAATAAATGCGGGATTAATTTTTTCTAAATTAAACACCTAAAAGTCTTCTAAAATAAGACTTCTTGAGTAAAACATTTTTAAAGCGCTTGGGTAAGACGTTTTTAATCTGTCTTGAGTAAGATGACTTTTAGCTATCTTGAGTAAGATATCTTTTCGACGGACAACCTAGACCTTTTTAAGACATCTTTAAGACGTCTTGAACAAAACGCCTTTAGACTGTTAAATTAAGACGTTTTAAATCGGTCTTTAGTAAAACGTTTTTAAGCAATCTTGAGTAAGACGTCTTTTCGACGGACAACGTAGACCTTATTAAGATATCTTTAAGACATCTTGTTTAATCTTAAAAAGACGTTTTTAAGACAGCTAAAAGATGTCTTTTTGTTTGCTTGGAAGACTCGACAAATTTATTAAATCAAATCATAACGAAAATTGATTTAAAGTTTTTGAAATAACCTTATTAGGTTATTTCAAAAAACGTAAAATAATTATACTACAACAAGTATACTTGTTGTAGTATAATTATTTTACGGCACTTGAATCAATAATTTCTTCTCGCTAAAAATAAATTTTTTGTTTAAGTATATAAGTACTACAACTAATAATTTCACTACAACTACAACTAATAATTTCTAACTGTGTACAAGTTTAATCATACATCACGCATTGTTTACAATTTTGTAGATAAGACTGAGTCCATTTTATATTAAAATTTTGAATTCCATAATTTTTTATTTTATAGAGGAGGATTTCGTGATCGACAGTGTCGAATGCCTTCAACAAATCAACAAAAACTCCAAGTGTATAATTATTATAGTCAAATCCTTTTATAATATTGCTAGCCAAATCCATCACTGCATGCTCAGTCCAATAATTCTAAAACCCAAACTGTTTAGGATATAAAATATTGTTTTTATCAGTGAAGATATATATTCTATTATACATAAGACGTTCGAGAACTTTTGAAAAAGAGGAAAGAATTGAGATGGGTCTGTAGTTTGAATCTAAAGAATCGTCCCCGTTTTTATGAATTGGAATTGTTTTAACAAGTTTTAATTGATTATGAAAGTTCTCGTTTTTTAATGAAATTTTAAAAATAATGTAAAAAGCAATTCGATAATATCAAGGACACTTTTCAAAACATTTGCATTAATTTCATCAAGACCTGCACTTTTATTTGTCTGAAGCATGTTAAAAGCTAAACAAAGTTCTTCAATTAAAAGTTCCGATTTGTCCATAATAAAATCTGATTTTTTCAAAAAAGACTGGAATGTTTTGTTACTTGGAGAAATTTTTCTTGCTAGATTTTTCCCAACATTTATAAAAAAACTATTCAGTCTTATGGTCGTTTAGATGTGGAAAGTTATTATACGCAAGCGCAGTATCAAATACAAATATTATAATTCTTGGCTAAGTGATCCGGATTTTAACTATCATGCACAGAGCTATCAAATCTTATTTGGTCTAATTCAGGCTTAATATTATTCAATTATTATTGATTCAACCGCAGACGTTTTGCACATAGATCAATTCACCTTTTGTTAATCAGTTATGTAACAGCGGCAGAATCGCCGTTGCTAAGAAACAAGCTCCTATATTAATTCATATGGAATATCAAGTTTCTCTTCCTGATCATTATTTGGTTATCCCAGCACAAGCTCATTCCGTCTCTTTACACAGGCATTGAAATCAAATCAGATGGACTTGAAAATTCTGACGCAGTTTCCTAATTCGTTATACTTATGTTTCTATTTGATATATAAACAATAGGATTGTTTGCGATATTATTAAGATTTAGAATTAGGATTGCAATAGAAAAGAACGCTGCTTTTTCTTCGATGGGGACAAAGGTTCGAATGGTTTGATGAAAACAAACCAAATAGTTTGATGAGGACAAACTGAAACGGAGGATTTTAATACTCCAATTAATCCGACTATTTCAGGCAAATTGGACTGTCCTATTCCAATCATATCAATTGACAATTATTTAAAAAGTTCTTCGATGGACAAAGAGTGAGGTACGTTTCCATGAAACGCTTTGGTTAAATTTAACATATAAAATAAGAGTAATATAACAATTTTTTATTCAAGGAGGCCTACAAAAACAAACAACTGAAACAAACGTGGAAATACCCAAAAAGCTACTGAATAATATTCAAATACTGAAAAATCTAATTCATGTGAAAAAAATTCTTAAATTAAGAACGGATTTTGTTTTAAAAAATTAAGGGTGCAGAAGTCCTAATTTTATAATATCCTTCTTATAGGGTAAAAAAAGCACAACCGGTGACTAAGGGAAGAGGGGCAGGGGTCAAAAATTGTCCAAAAAATTGTGATATTCTTTACGGACGGCCCTTATTAGTAGATTGAGAAAGTTTTAATTTTTATTGGTGTGTGCCTAAATGTAGTCCAGTTTTTTGTTGATTTCTTAAAATCTATCGTCTTGCTCCGTTCTGCAGAGAATTTTATTTGGAAACAAAATTAGTAGTAAAAGTATTTTAATACATTTGTTAACAAATAACAAGTAGTAATGAGTTCATTTGAAAACCATATTAATTTCCAAATTTCGGCTTATATGCTATTATAAATAAAGTGATTTCTTAATTCAACTAGGCAGCCCCATAGATGTAACAGAAAAACTGGCTTATCACATTTTCACATGATGTTATTTAGCTAAATAGAAATACTGTTTTTGATATAAATCTCTGTTTGGCAGGGTTTAAACTATTAAATCCATATACAATTTATATAAGATGTTTATGTGTTTTCTCTAGAATATCCAAATGGATCGGAAATGCTTTTTTAAACTTTTGCAATTCAAAAATACATCAATTAGGTTTGGCAAGAAAAAAGTTGCGATATCAGTCAATAGTGTAGATTGGCTTTTTCATATGAACTATTAACTCAGCTTTTTGATTATATCTAGTGTATATTAGGGTAATAACTGCTATCATATTTTTTGGTAACAAAACTGAAACCCCCTACATTTGACAAACGATTTTATGAAAATGACAGCAGCAAAATCAATTTTTAAAAAAATTTCAAAAATGTTCCCCATTCTTTTTTGTTTAAATTTGTTCACTTATTGCGCAATTTGACTACAAGTTTCAATTTTACAATGAATTTTTATATAGTCAGTTGTTTAGATTTGTTTATAAACAAGGCATTTACAGATGGTTGATATTTTTATTTTCTTTGTTTTAATCCCAACTACACCATGTGAACTCGGTACAGCGTGATGCGAGTTCTCTATATATAACTATTTTATTATTGTTATATTTTATTTAGTTTCTATTTAGATGCAAATATATAATACATATTCTGGAATAATTTGAAACATTTGGAAATATTTTTGAAAATTTTGGATAAAATCTTGTTTCCAGTGTCAAATTTCAAAAGTCTTAAAAAGAGGGAAAAAAGTAAAAGATATTTAATCACCTTAAAACCAAAATAAAATGTCTTATAGAAGTTCCAGCAACAGTATTAAGTTAAACAGGTATATTTGGATGAAGAATCTACCCTTTTCCTCTAAACAGAAAAAGAATTCAAAGATTCCATCTGGTGAAAATCTATCCAATCCTCATACAAATACCAACAAACCGTCAAAACTTTAGAAACTCCACGTTTTTGTTCAATAATGAGAATTTGCGACTGGTTTGAGTCAAAATTTTGATTACGGATTTTCCACAGTCAGTAGACTTTCCACTCTTATCTAGCGCACTGATGTCTATTGAGTTTCTTTCAATTGAAAAATGTTGTTTTGGCATCCTGCTGAAATCTACATACAGTAAAAATGAAGATTCAAAAATTCAATTTCTTGATTTTGTATGAAGTTCTTCCATTAGTTTTATAGCACGTTCAGCAATTTGGTTAAATCTTAAAATGTCAATTAACGACTCTTCTATTGACCAATGCGTATTTAAACACTCGATTGCCTTCTTGCATTTGATTTTGATGAGTGAGGAAAGAGTTCATCGAAGAAGGTTTCATTGCAGTGTTTTAAATAAAACCAAGCATTTTCATATTCGTAGTAGATGAAGCTGGAGT